TTTGAGTTATAATATTGCTTTTTCATTGAAAATTCTGATTTCATCATGGTTGTTTGATTGCCTATTCATCTGTTATTCCAATGATGACATAATTCTTTTCGACATCAGGCAACCAGCAGTAGTTAGAGTTTACCTATACTGAACTGATTCCAATAAATTATGGGAGTTTATTGAAAAATTAATTGTTATATATTTATTATGGAACTGGTGATGAAACGCATTATATTCGAATATGATAAGCTTGATTGGCGATTTTGAACATATTTGAATAACGATATTAAATCTTCCTTTACTCAGTGTTCCATAATTGAATCTTTTTGAAGAGTTCATATCGAAATCTACATTGAAATATAAAATTCTGCCATATGGTTTATTTTCTCAAGTTAAAAATATCGGTAACGTATTCAACCACAGACAGTTTTCTTGTAAGCTATTTTTTCTACTTAAATATTTAAAAGTGGCTCACTCTCAAAGTATAAATTTGATTCCTTGTTTGTCAATAGAATAATCACTCATCTTATGTAATTCAATGAACTTTATTCCCTGGAAAAACAAAGCATGTTAGACATTGTAGGAAAGTCAGAGTTTGATCCCACCGTTCTAAAGATCTAATCGAAAACAATATTATTCGCTTATATATGTTTGAATTGACTTTTAATAATCCGAAGCATTGATGTTTTTTAAATTGCTTCAAGCCTAAAGTGATTCCTTGTTATAATGAATGACAGTTAACGGAAACTTTTCTTTACTATTTCTCTTCAAAAAACGTACAATATTCACATTTATCCATATTGTTTTGTTCCATGATTAACTTGAATTGCATACTGACATATTAAACTATTCTTCGTCATTATATTCATTATCCTTGAAATCAAACTTAGGTTCAAACATTCCAAGGCGTCATGTATTCAGTTAGACATCTTCTGATGAAAATCAATACATTTATTATGGTAAGATCAATCAAAATGTTGGAATAACGATTAATACAATTTAACACTGTTGTTAATAGACCAGTAATGACTAACTTTTCATTGGTAAATCCAGAGAGCTGAAAAATTGCAACATGGTAGATAAAGCAAATCAAATTGCAAAACATATTATCGTGTGTTAGATGGCACGTAACTCATTTTTGTTCTTACTATCACTTATCACTGAGACATATTTGCGGCCCTGTGAAACTGTGCGGGTTACTCGTGATTTAAAGCTGATTTGTTCTATAGCGCAACCAGAAACCGAAAAACAACCTAGCTATAAATTCAGTTCAGGCTAAGCATTCAGGAAAGAACACTCAACTATTTCATAAGTTTGTAATTAAATGAAATCACTCATTCCAGAAGCAATCATAAATCTGTTCACCATTTAAAATACGCATGCACTCAAAATATCGCCTAAATTTAATGCCTAAATTTAATTGAATATACACTAACAATTTATTATCATTTTCTCCGGTTTTTAAGGGTGTGATATTCTGTAAAGCTCAATTATTCTTTGTAAAAAAGGGATTTGGAAAGTCCCAAAATGTCCTGAAATCTCAGTTATACTCACTAAGATTTCATCAATGCTTTTTCCGTAATAAACAAACAATACGATTCTCAATTTATTAGACAGTTATCAGGTCACATTTAGACCATACTTTACTTTTAACCTGAAAGAACTGCAATGGTCTATGAGAAAGTAAACCACTGCATAAAATCACTAACTTTCTTTCAGATTAGACTGAAAATATTTTAAACTTTCCTACAAACGTCCTTCAGTAGTAGTAGTTTTTCATTAGTTTATTATTTCCAACTCATTTATCATCGATAGGCTCACCAACAAAGAATGATGTTTGCCCAAAATCTTCAGTCTTATACGATTTAATCAAACTTATATGTATCACATTTTACTCTATGCTTTGATTTCATCGTAATTAACACTTACAGAAAAGCACATGTTCTTCAAAATGATCACTGTAAGTAGACTTTCAGTTTCTGTTACACCATCCGTAAGGAATATGTTTGTATAAATTTATGGTACCAAGCCGACTAGCCAGAAGCTTAGTTATTTTTAAGACTTTCAGATGAACGTTTGGAACACTTTTATTTATAATTACGATCGGTATATTTCTTTTAGCTACATATCTCAGAATACAGAAAGGTTTTATAAGCTTTTGTCTGTCTTAACACATGGTATTTAAAACGATACAGCTTTCATCAGTTTGTTTTATATGTTGATATGAAATTTACGAAACCGTTGATTTGATCGAGAGCACCAACTAACACCATATTTTGTCTCCATGTTAAACACTTCCCAAACTTCACGTTAACTTCAGACTTTATCTTGACCGATGGTTATAAATAGTTTGTAGGATGTGGAAATTAATGTTGATGAGGGTGTCGCATTGTAGTACAATGGAACAATACAAGATTCGTTTCTATTATGGATAATCTTCCAAGTTTCAATCACTAAAAGTACATCAATGCTCACATAACTGGAAAAATTCAATTTCTCATAACAACAGTTGAAATAAAAACATCAAAATTAAATGTTTACCATGTTGAAATTACTTATTATATGACGGAAGGTTACTGTAATAAGTGTACAGAATAGCATTTCAAGAAATCCGTGTATCTGGGTAGCTGTGTAAGTGAGTAAATCAGTTCACGTATAATGAAAGCCAAAGGGGCTTATACTGATCTGGGCCATCTTTGACCCTTTGTAATGTTAATCTGGCTACAAAAGTTCGGATCAATAATGCGTCGGTGCAAGTAATGTTGCTTTATGCATGTGAAACCAAGCCTTCTCGAGTTGAGGATGTTAGACGACTTTCTGTGTTTGATCATCGTTTTCACTGATGGATTACTAACTTCAATTGGCAACACCATCTTAATAATACAGAGGTTCGGCATCGTGTGCTCCAGTACGGCGATGAAAATTCAATTAGTTTAACCGTCTTGAAACACCAACCTCGGTGGCTTTCACATGTACTATAAATGTCGTATCACGTTGTGCATTATTTTCCGACGCTGGGATCGGTTGGGAATGGTGAAGAGGTAGTCACTGCATGATATGGTGTCTTGGTATAAAAGAAAGCTATACAGAACTGGCTTCTGTTGATCCCTCATGACTCCCTGATTGAGGTCCTAGAGATAGCGCGATACGAAGGCTTGAAACGTTGTCAGATATAACTCAGAATACAAGCCAGCGGCAATCTTGCTGTAACTTTCTTTTACTAGAATAATTGACAGAATCCTTTTTGGTTGTATATTTCCTAACAGAACTGATTCATCCATCCACTCATCTTTCCATTATTATCATTATTATTTATTCCACTCCCACACACTACTTTCTACCCATTGTTGTTTTGTTTTCTTATTGTGCTCACTTTCGTTTCTCTATCACTTCATAACCTCATTTTTTCTTATGTGGCGCATATATATTTTGGTGACCGATTGTATTAATGTTTATGTGTTTAAATAAATAATATTAGTTAGCAGAGATGGATAGTGGCTAGCAGTGGAATCCAGGACGCGCGTTTCGTCCTATTTGGGACTCGTCAGCTGGATGTACCTGCATCTCAGAGTTGATGTTCACTCTGGGACTCGAACCCAGTACCCTCGCTTCAAACGCCATCGCGTTATCCACTCGGCCACTGAGTCCTGATAGCCACTTGCTTGTGCGATGGGGTGAAGTTCAAATTCAACTTAGTATTGTTTGTTTGCAGGTACATCCAGCTGACGAGTCCCAAATAGGACGAAACGCGCGTCCTGGATTCCACTGCTAGCCACTATCCATCTCTGCTAACCATGCTTGTGAATTAAGGTATATCGAGGCAATACGCACAGTATGCACATATGCCAATTAGAGACTGACCAGTTGCAGTCCCAACAAGATTCAAACAAACAATACTAAGTTGAATTTAAATAATATTAGGTTGTTAAGTGAAGATTATCAATGTACCAAAGATAATAACAAAATCTATATATCTCATGATTGTTTATAAATCAGTATTTTTAAGCTAGCAAGATAATGAACTCTACTTGACAAAGAAAATAACTAGTCTGGAGGTGTCTCTGACAAATCGTAACGATTTGCCAAAATGGTATATTTCAAACTTTTATTGTCCAGTTGTTGAGTACTTTAATCGGTTAATAATATTTCAGTGATAATTGTCAATAAACTATATTCTAAAGTCTTTTTGAAGTTAAAATATGTAGATCAATTTCTTAGCTGTATGTGGTTATTTTTCACCTATAACAGTGCAAACAAAGAAATTAAAAAACAAATGTTTGGCTATAAACTTTACATCATGTGAATGTTTAATTCTTTATTATCTATGTATTTAAACTTGTCTCTTAAGTAAATGACACATACGATTCATGAATAGATATAGGTAATTTTAAAGGTATGAGTTTTGTTAAGGTGTATAGCATACAATTCATGATATTCTTTTTTGAGATTTAACTGGAAAATATATTTAGCTTCCTGTTTGGTTCAGCAAGGAATCCTTTCACCATTTCACGTTGAAAAGTGCCATTTTAACTGTCTACCCTAGGAATATCATTTAATAGTTATGTAGTTACTTACAAGAGACTATTATAAGGATTAAAACAGTTTGTATTTTTCAGGATGATTCTAGGGAAACTAAAGTGTTGTCGTAAACGAGTTAAAAGTTCAACTTTCAACGTTCTATGAACAATTTCATAAGAAAATCTTTTCTGTATGATAACCAGCTAATCGACACCATAAACTGCTCTTGGTTGATTAATAAAATAGTTTATTATTATGATCAACATAATTTTTAAAGATAACAAAATGACACACAGTTTATTTAAACTAGAAGAAAATGATTTATAACATGATTTTTAAGTCCATGATGTTAATAGAATGGCATTATTATCTGTGAATGCAACTTTTTATTGCGTAAGAGTTAAAGCTGACACAAAATTATATTGCATTACAACAATAGTTTAAAGTAATTAAATAGAGCCAGAATGGAGTATTTTTAAAATTGTAACTAACTAACAGCAACAGCATCCTGCAGGTTTGTCTTCGTCATTATTTGATAACCAAAGGCACAATATAGTTTGTCCATTATCACAACTGAACACCAGATATTTTCCTTTAGCTGCTTCTTTTATTGGCTGTGTGTTGCATATAACACGTCCTCTCCAACGTGGACCGAACTCACGATCACATCGTATAGTTATTTCATATAAATTGGAAGAATCATTTTGTTTATTCCATCCATATTTTATAAGTCTCAATATTTTCTGCTGCATCTCTGGACTTAGGTTGCTTGAGTAGACGATTGGTTTAGGTAGTGAATCTGGAATTACTATGTTTCTTTCTTTAAGAATTTCGCTGTAACGGAATTATGAACACCGTAAGTTATAATTTTATATGTAATTTTGTGTACAAGCTGGTAATGAAAACTGAAAATACTTATTTAGCAATCTATTAGATCTAACCAAGAAATTAGAGCCAAAGTCTCAGGTAAACGAATAGAGAATTTGAGAATAGAATGTTCTGGGGGAACAGTTCTTTCTAATTTATTCCGTATCGGATGTGAGACAGTTATCCACTACAAGCGATTGATGAAGAGTTGTGGAAGTTCATGGACTGGTTGAAGTTAGACATTGACACTGTTGGATGCCTACTTAGTGACCTAGATGTTCAACGTTCGTTCTAGAGGCCGGTCATGGGTTCTGTTCCCGCACACAGGGTTATGGATGAGCACTGATAAGGAATCCAATACTAGGAATAAAAAGCTTTCCAGTTTTTTCCGGGTTTTCAGTGATGGTCTATCTAAGATCAGTTCATGATTTAAGCGATTTAAATACTACAATCTTCACAAATTGACTTTAGTAATTGAGTTATAGTTTGAGTATAGTTTATAAAGAAATACACACTCAACTAACACCTATTTGAAGTTTTACCAGAACAACTGATATGAAGATATATTTACAACACCTACGTAATGGCTAAATTAAACAATATTATTCGTAAAAGAATCAAAGTTTGGAACCAGTAATTTTATGCGAAATGGAACAATATACAGCCAAATGAATTTAAAATAAAAACCTACGATATTAGTATTTCTAAGACTAACAGTAAAATCAATTTTAGTTTCAAACCTTGAATTTTGAATGATTTATTACAAAATACCTTCAATACCTGGTCAGTTAAAATTTGTAACCTTCGTGTACTCTATTCACCTGAAAAAACCAGACTGATTTAAAGATATTCTAATTATTTGTAAATTATTATTTAACATTATTTTTTAAATGAGAAACATTTAAACCAGGTAATGATCATACAGTCTACGATGCACAATCAGTGGATCAAAAACAATCTTCACAAAAGCTATGAAGATAAGGTTAAGATCTAAGACTAGTATAGGTAATAACAGAGTCAACGTGAACACAGGCTTGAACAAGCAAGTGTATTTTAGTACATTACAGAATATCTTACTAAAATGTTAGAACCATACTGTAAATACTTCATGTACAAAATATCCATCAATTGTTTCAGACTTTGTTGTTCCTTCGTTTCCATACTAATCACTCTCTGTTCTCGTTCTCTTCTCTTCAATTTTCTTAACCTTCTGCCACTAGGCATTCCACTTTCGACTGGTGATACATACTACTAATATCTGTCGACTTAAGTAGCACACACCACAGTGCCATCCATTTTGCCTTCGTAAACAGTGAACACGATATCGAAATAGAGGAAGCTTTTCCAGCTTTATATTATGTAATAATTTGGTAAAACAACACGATTAGTTCTCCATTACATTTTGGAAGCCATTGAAGTCACTTAATTATACTAAACCTGTGTATGAGAAAGATGTACACTCACCTACGTCATTTTTATGCTACAAAGTGAAAACTCTTACTCTTAACCACTTTTAAACCTATCTCTAAACTTTGTATCTTATGAAAAATTCACGGCCTTGCATTTATCTTTATGCATAGGAATTTCTTATAGTAATTAGTATAATAACTTCGACATAACATATCTCCCACTAAGCATTATTTTCGCATCATTTTGTAATATTCGTCAAAACTCGTTATTTTCATGTACAATATAACTAATGACACTTTTTTAAGTGCTCAGTTTATAATCCATGTGGAATTCAGTATTCTTAATCTCTCGCACTGATTAATTTAATCATTAGCTTATGTGTGTTTTCTTTACATTGGCCATAATAATGGAATAATTAGAAAAATTTATAACTACGGAGCCTGTAAGTGAAATTACTAAAATCGGTTGCTTTCTCACTTGTTTATTCTTAATTGAGAATGAAGTAATATTTCGATTGTTATATGTTAAATTAACAATTTAACTGGTTAGATTATGTTTACGTATGTTCTGTAAAGAATTTACCTAGAAACCAGTTAGAAACAATACGCAGTTCTATCTTGGCACATCTAATTGATAGTGGTCATAATGTAGATAAATCGAAATCATTTCGAGTGACCTATTGTATACCTACATCATTTCCCAACGGAGTTCGTTACCGTCTCCTTCATATAGCAGAAGCCATAGGAATTCGTACACTTCACCCCAATTTATGTGTACAGAAGAAATTTGTAACCCCCCTATCCCTTCCATGGCCGGACACAACTTAACAAATGACATTATAATTATTATTGTTTTTAAATTTTATTTTTAATTTTGGTATCATTTCACTTAGTATTACTTGTTTGAATCTTCCCATTGATGTTTAGGACTGCAACTGGTCAGTCCTTATTGGCATATGTGCATACTGTGCGTATTGCCTCGATATAGCCTTATTTCACAAGCATTGTAAGCAAAGGTGGATAGTGGTTAGCAGTGGGATCCAGGAGTGAACATCAACTCTGCGATGCAGGTACATCTAGCTGACAAGCCCCAAATAGAACGACACTCGCATCCTGGATTCTACTGCTATCCACTATCCATCATTGCTTACAATGTTTGTTATCATTTGTTTGTAATTTTCTGCCTCTTTCCGTTCGTATTCTTCACTATCTAATTACTTATATACTTCTTATTACGTAATGATTTTAATGTTTTGTGGTGACTATTCTAGTCTATTTACCCACGTTTGACCTCCTATTTCCTATGTTTAACTATTGATAAGACTTTTCTTATCGTAATTTAATATCCTTACTACTATCAATATACCTGTATTCCCACCATCAACTTGTACTTTTACCTATTAGGCTTGGTGACGTATTCTATTTCATTGTGATTATTGACTCAAATAGCCTTGATTGGTCTAAAATTTTCGTATAAATATTCATGTATATTAGAGTAAAGCCTGATAACGATTTAATTGAAAACAATTGTTCGCTTACATGTGTTGTTCCAAAACATAATTGTAACTTTACTAAGTATTTTACATTTCTCATGCTAATTACTTTTTGAAAGACGTAGTCAGAATTTTGGAGACAGTCTTGTAGTAAAAAATAATTTACCGTAAGCACATGACAAGTTAAATTAATTACTTGATTGATTTTCTAACCACTGATAAAAAACATTTTTCCATCAATATTTTGAAAACTGGTAATGAAGAATGATACTTAAATTATTTGCGCTTCAATGACAAGGTAGCGTTTGTAGTTTTATTTCTGCTGTTTCGAATAAAGTCAAATGGATTTCTACTGTCTCTCATATAATTGCGATCATTTTGTTTAAAGTCCAGAGTGAGTTAATCAGAATCATAAGCTTTGAATATATCAGCATTTAAGATGTGGTTCATCCGCTGAATAGTAAATTAGTCGTTTATTGTAAAGACCATAAGATAGTAAATTAATTTAAATACTCATGCTAACATAGGGGTTCATTACAAAATCGTTATCCCACTCAAATAGCTTAAGATCTGTTTCTGAAGTATAGCTAGATTGAAAATCTTCATCGTCAGGATCTACAGTTATAAGTCCATAATTATTGTGATATTTTACAAAGGCCAAAATAAGTCATGAATCAAAGAGCTTGACAAGGTCTTAAGTTAGAAATGCTAAACGTTTGCATCTGTTACGAAATAAATACTTCAAGACTGTGTTATTTATAAATTAGAAAGTTCATTTAATAAAGGTCCGAATGATTTGTGATAGTGCCAAGTCATAAACAATATAACAGCAATATATTGAAATATAAAATCGTGTGAATAAAATTCATAGTAGGTGGAGTTCGTCTTGTTTTTTGAGATAAGAATAATAACGATAATAATGTGTCAATATAATATGTAATAAGAGAGGTGATATCAGGGTAACTACGATGAAATAGAATTCATGTGATCTGAGAAAAATGAATGCGAAGATTAGGAAAGATATAAACAGGAAAAGAAATTGAGATTTGGGATAAGAGGTTTATAATATCCAGTTTAAGTATCTGATAATCCATTTGCGGATCAAGGTAAACATAGAGGCTGGATGTATCTCTTCTGGATAAATAAGTTCGGTTTCTGGAGTTGATTCAGATGGCCTAAGTTATAAGAGAGAAGTCTTAATTTAGCTCCTTTACGTAGATTGTTTGGAACCTGATATAAAACAGAGAAAGCTTCATCCATTTTGATATGATGTTCACTATCTACCAAGTGAGAAATAATGACACCATTAATCGTTTTCGTGACTGCTTTTCCCAACCACGCTGGTACGTTTTGACGAACACACAAGGATAAAGCAGTTAAATTAGTATACATACATGGAGGAGCCCATAATGGGCAACCTATTCTTGGTTTGTTGTGTAAGTACTGGTTTGGTTAGGAAGATTACATGTAACTTGGCAGCGTGAAACGTCCTTTCAATAGATTTTTTCAGTCAACGTGTTGAAACGTTACCCGCTATGTCCTCTATAAAACCAAGTTCCAGTTTGAGGGTCTTTTATTGACCACATCAGAGTTTGATCTTTTTTTAACTTCCAGCAGAAATTTTCAGACAAAATTATCTTGATAGCCACTACTTCGTAATGTGTTTTTCAATTTATTTATCTCGTTATATACACCTTCCTCAAGACATACTAGTTTGTTTCGGTGGATGAGACATTTAACCAAATCTATTTTGTATTAAAGAGGTGTGGAATTATGAAAACGGTTATACTGACCCGTCCACATATTCTTTCTAAATACATTACCTTTTGTATGACAGTTTATCCTTGTAGAAAATAGAACATCGAGGAATGCTGAACTATTATCGTTCTCCACGTTGCTGGTGGATTTAATAGCTGGGTGAACGTTATTGAAACTGTTCAACAGCTGTTGTTTTTCGATACTTTCCTCACACAATTAATGCGTCATCTATGTATCAACAGTAATATTCTAGCTTATTTAGGCTGTTTTTCAATGGTCTCATTTTCCGGTTCAGCCTAAAAAATATTAGCCAGGATCGTGCCTAGGGGTGATCTCATTTCTATTCCATTTATTTGTTTGTAAAATTCATTGTTAGTTAAAAGTAGGGATTCATAGTGCAATTCGACAGAGAATCCATTTTCTTATTTATTGCGATCGTTATCTCTATTTTCTTCTCTAGCAGTTGTTAACATACATAATTGATGGTTTCTGTCAGTGAACAAAAATGTTGTATCTGGCGATAACACGGTTTTGCCTTTTACATTCATGTTTTTTTTTATTTTATCCACAAATTCAAATACGTATTTAACGCTGTACTTAACCAAGTCTTGATGTAATGGTGCTGATAATTTCACCAACCATTTTGTCACTTTATGGTGTGGTGAGTTTGACGTAAAGAAACCTCTGGTTTATGAACCCTAGATAAGCTATAAAGTAAAGGGGTATATGTTACAGAAGGCTTGAGCCCACTATTTGTATACTCAGAGATGTATTGATGTTTTTTTAAAGGTGTTAATGAGGTAGTTAATTGACGCTCGGTTTCTTCATCACGGTCTTTACATGGCCTATGAGTTTGGAATTTAGTTTAACCACTCAACATGGTATTCATCTTATCCATGTGATCTGTCTTGTTTAAAATAACACTAGCTGATTCTTTATCTGGTTTGGTGATAAAAACGTGCTCATTTCATTCTGGTGTCCAGATAGCTTCTCTATTTTTATCAGTCAATAGACTATATGTTTGATACTTGTTGCTTTTATATTGGTTACAGTAACAAACCAATGTAGTCTTGAATCTATGATGTTAGACCTTTGTTGAAAGTGTCAAGTCTTGTGTCTTCGTACATATATTATCAAACTGAACAGTAGTCTTCAAATGATCTGCATGTCTATATCTATCACAAAACCTAGATCCTAATGATAATACCTGTAGTTGACTTTTATAGAAAATTAACAGAAAAAACGTTTAAAAAAATACCTGTTACAGTTTTGTGGAAAAGGGGGTTTAAATATCTGGTTCTCCAGTCCTTCGATTAGATTTATGGTGATTTCAACTCGACTGCAAAAACCGTTAACTTAAATACCGTGTTCAAACTAGTTTTTTGTTGTAAACTGCATATATCTACTGGTCAAAACGAACCACGGTACTTTAAAGCTCAACAAAAGATGTCGATTAGATCGAAAAGTGTAAAGTGTAAAACTAACAAGTGCTTTCGACTCGTGGATTTTGTTAATATTGTAGAGCAAATCTTTAGGCGGTTGAAGAATACTGATTTATCAAGAAAGGGATTTTTAACAAACTGTTATAATGAACTTAACTGCTATTTCCTAGGTACTTTTTATACTATGCGTTTTACACTATATAATTAATATCCACTGTCATTTTAAGCAACTTCTTGACTTCAGGATACTACATTCTACAAAGACTTATGATGTCTTATTAATTATGATTACAAATATAAAGTCGGTTTTTACTTCCTGTATTATTAGAACATCATGATAATGCATATAAGAACTATGTAATTTTTTTATTCTGATCATATAATATTCAGAAACTAACTGTTCTGAAAAACTATTTGGTATTAATCTGAATAAATATCAGAAAACTTACTAAATTTGCTTCACAACCCACTATATCTCAATGTTTACCATAAAATTCGGTTGGAATAGCGATCCTTCATCCGGGACCGACATGCTCTATTGTGAACTTGATAATCGTCAGAGCAATGTGAATTCATAAACTTTGAAATTCTACTGTAGATTATTTAATAGGATTCAGATTAAAGAATTGTGAATCCAAACCAAATTAGTGGTTGAGTGTTGGGAAAGTTGTTAAGAAGACCTTACACCACGCTTGAACGTCACTATTATACTGTCAAACACCATGGCTTGCCTAAATCTTGATTAAAAATACTCACTCATTCAAATGATTTAACGCAACGGATGCTTATCAGTGTGGGGTTGTAATTATTGTTGAGCTTTTTGTTGAGATCATGAATCGATCAATGTTAGACCACCACTGAAAACTTGAAAGCACTGGATGACCGTTTCGTTCTAGTATGGGACTCCTCAGTATTGAACATCCACGATTCCGCACATGGGGGGTGATTCTCGGAGTTCTAGTGAGAAGCCGTGACTAGTGGAGCTAATCCGTGTGAGGTATGAGGCAGATACCCACCAAAAACAATGGAAGATGGTCGCACAATTTCGTGGATTGTATCAAGTTAGACATTAACACCGTTGGATGCCGGTTCAGTGATCTAAGGTTAAGCTTTAGCGCGCGAGGCCAAAGGTCCTGAGTTTGAATCCCACGGGTGGAGTTTTGGATGTGCAATGCCGAGGAGTTCCATGCCAGGACGACACAACGGATGCTACATGATGAATGAATGGAGTCAGTTGTTGGCTTTAAATCTACAGCTCATTATTATGCCATACATTAAAGGACATTTAGGTGACTGACTAACCGATTCACAGATATAGAAGAAATTTTTAATTGCAGGAAACAACTATGCTATCGGACTAAACAACTATCAATTATAAAGCTATACTAAAGTAAGGATAATGGTTAGTGTAAATAAGTTGCCAATCTTACTCTCTTTTCTTTTTGCTGACACCAAGAACATCACAAAAATGAATAAATGTTATTTCGCCAGTATTGTCTTCATCAAATAACCTTTTCCACTTCTGGAAATTAAAAGATATAAAAAAAAATTGGGGAATTATTTCATTTAGTGAACCTAAAAATATATGTTTAAGTGGCAAGCTAACCTTATGGTTTTTTTGGAATAAAAGGTCTGAGTTACTCCATATAAAGTGTAATTATCAATGTAATGAATAACTCTCAAAAGCTAGCTAGTTCTTAGCATAATTATATCTCATTTCAACATAATGGAATAGGATTGAATTATTGGAAACAATTGTGAGGACACGAGTAATATAGATGCTGTTCTTTTTAATAACTTTATTATAGTTGTTTTTCATCTTCTCCTGGAGCCACTTTGGGGTTAATACCGGTCTAAAGCTCGGATAAAAGCGTAAGGTTAGAAACCACACTCCGGAGAAGAAAAATGCTAAAATAACACAAACCATTATATATATATATATATATACCACTTAAACTTTTCATGGGATACTGCAAGGAACCCAGCTGGAAAATATAGTAAACCAGAATGACCAGTGAAGAAAAAAATCAAGGAAAACCAAGAGTAGCAGAAAAAATAGGTAGAACACTTTGAAAAGCTCAGTGTAAGTCACATCTTCAGAGAATAAATGAAAAAGTCAAACTTTGCTAATGATGCCTGTAAATTTATTTATCTATTTACTTAGTGGGTTTTTTTCTACATAAAAACAGGTTACTTGTTGTGGTTGTTGTTAGGTGTATTGGTTATTCACACGTGCAATATCGCAATATATATGTATGTAAATAAGGATAGAGTTCAAGCTTCATAGAATGAAAATAGAGAAGCAAACTTGACCATTACCAACATATATATTATGTAAAACTAAAATCCATCACTAAAAGAAACATCAAATGAAAAATACATTTATCATTCATTCACTTTTAATATAACAAAAAAACAGTTACTATGTGTAAACATGTTTTAAATACTCACTACTGTAAAATCATCTGCTACTGTACTTTTCTTTGAATATCTTTCAAGATCTTCAATTGTAATGACTCCATCATTATCAGTATCAATTAATGAAAATGCATGTAAAATTTCTTGTTCAGTCATTTTGGAACTAATATGAAATGATTTATCAACTAATTAAATTAATAATAAATCCATAAGGATCAATTTCTATTAATCACGTGTAAAGTTTTACGTGAAAAATAGAATGGTACAAATAAATATTGAAAGTTTCGTTTATTGTGCATATATTTATCATGGAGTTATTAATAATAATAATAATAATAATAATAATAATAATAATAATAATAATAATAATAAAGGATAACATATACATAATTGAAATTTCCACCAATCTACCTTTATAGACTTTTGTTAATAATCAATTAGAACATATAGAAATTAAAATGGTTTCATTGAATATAAATAGTGTAGTGAACAGAACACTAGTTGGGGACAATCGAATGTATTTAAGCAAACATTACAGATTATCTCAGTAAATTCTGATAACCAAACAATGAACAGTCAATTTGCAAATTAACAACCAATTGTTTCAATCTTCACTGTTTCTTCTCTTATTCCATTGCTCATGCATTTTCCAAACGATTGCGCTTCATTTCAGTTCTTTACTTATCGGTCTTCTGCCAAAATACATTCTATGTCTGACCCACACCATATACTACTTATATGGATATAAGTAGACCACACCACAATAGTACTTATTTTTATAAGAACTTTCGTCTAAATCAAATCGAATAGTTTCACAATATTTGGGCGCCGAGTTGATGTAAGACATTTAACAGGAATAATAATATTTGTATTTTAATTCCTTGAAAAAGCTTGGACCAGATTGTCAGGCGAAACGTTGGATTTACTTCACATTCATTCACTGATATTTTACAAATATATATTATTCCTATTTAATGTATTTCTTTTTTTCTCTGTAAATGATAATAATAATAATAATAAAGTGTACATTTTAATTACTGTCTAACATCTTCTATAATTTGTTTTAAAAAAATAAGTAGAGGTTTGACAACAGGAGTTTATTTTACTACAGTGACTATTCAAAAGTCAGCGTCACATAATGGACTATCAAAATTCTCTATGGAGTATTCAAGTTTTAGAGGATGAGTGTATTACATTATTGTATATATAAACTTTTATATCAATTATTGAGGAGATAAGTAAATATTTTACACTTAATAGATGATAGATTAATAAACGTTAAAAATTTCTGTCCAGCAAGTAGTCAGTGTCATTTTCAAAAGAAAGTGTGATCTATAATTGTGAAGAAGATTTGTAGCACAGGTGGATGATTTTGATGGATTTTCGTTCTTTGAGCTGAATGGTTTGGTCGTGGAGCTGAGAAAAACATTAAATCACACAAATTAGACGCTACGCTCATCTTCGTCTGCACGAACATCAATTAGAGGTCGAACGCCATAGCATATCCTCGCTCATATCATGCATGTGGACAACTGTGGACACACGTTCGACTGGGAATATGTTGAGATCTTAGATACAGGGGATTCTAAAAACATCAGAGAATTTTAGAAGCTTGACTTTCAGGTCAATCAGCTATCAACAAGCACATTGAAATCGGTCCAGTTTATTAACCAATCAGAAAAATTATGGACAAATATAGAACCAAGAATCAAATCATTTTGTTCTCATCTTAAACCTACTCAATTTGAATTGAACTTGTCAGAAATTTCTATCAATCAATTTGTCTTAATCACTTCATATTTTATATATCAGGTTCAAAATATCAACACGTTCTCTGGTTAGTAGAGTTTATTTAAAGCATAATTGCGTGAAGATTTGCATTTAATTACTATTGGCTGTTCAGTATCTGTGTGTCAGTACTCATGAAGATTAAAATACTTTCGAAATTTCATTATTTACCGTTAGTGCTTCACTTATATTTTTCTTATCTTACAAGTGACAAGAAGCTCGATAAATGAATTATTGACGAATTTTTCGCACCATTTAATACTTTATTTTGAATGAAAATAGATCGACACTGGGACAATATTTATCTGGCTTTTGATTTGTGTATATAATTTCGATAATATTATCGCAAGACTAAAATCACTTCAGTCAAATGAGTAAATTTTCCAATTTTATACAGTGTTAAAAACATATCAGTGTTTTCGTCCAAATCTATATTTACACATTCTTGTGAATGTTGCAAGGCCTCCTAACGGATTTTGACAAGTTTTAAGGATGAGATTGTTAGCTGTTCCACAATAGTGATTAATATCATAGTTATAATTTTTAGTGTAAATAGATGATTCTTTCTTATTCCTCTGTAGTTGTACGTCATGGTTACTAATGTCTGGCGTCACTGACACTGTTGACAGTGATATTTTAAACGTTTTGTACTTAGACTGCTAGATTTTGATCTTTATAAAATCTTGTAGAAGTTATGAATGTCGACATCAGCTGTGTTGTTAACAGTAATTTGTTTATTAAAGAATTAGTATATTCTACGCAGCCTTCACATAACACTTTCGGGTTTTATCTGCAGGTTCCTCTAGTATGTTAAAAGTGACTGGTCCATTAAATGGGTGTGATATTGAAAATATAACGTTTAAATCGTTTAAGTGTTTGCTATCTTTGTCTACTGAAGCTACGGCTCTAGGCAATTGCACTGTAACTTTAGCTTTCTTAAATGTTAACGGGAAAGTGATATTATACTACTGAATGATTTCGTGATGGTTGTAATGCTTCTCTAAGAGCTATCCTACATCCTGAGAACTGGATTTCAGTGTGGGTAGCTTTGAGATGCAGTTTTACCCGAGGAGTGTAATTAAGGCGTTTCGTTTGTTATCATCTCAGTATTTCGAATGTTTTCTCACCAGATGAACTTCATTTTCAAGTTTCTAGGACATAATAGATTTGTCGTTATTAATAAAATATTATTGTAGCGGTAGATAAATTACCAAAATGAATAGTTCTGCAAGTCTTCGACATCTTGTGCTGATCCCATTAGTTTTACTGGACACACCCTAATTGAAGGCGCTTGGTCACGCATCCGCACCATATCATGGGTGGGTACGCCATGCTACGCATCCCTTGTAACTACTAGTCAACACAAGTCATACTCTTCTCAACATATCGATGGTCTTCCTAGAAAATCTTCTAAGTCATTTTTCACTGACTTTTGACTGTGTTGACATCCTTTGATTATAAAGATGTTACAGACAAAAGCGTCGTAAAATCCTGTTACGTCTCTATAACTCTTCCTTTTGAGTATTATCACACTCCAAAAACAGAATAACAAGAACCATCACACTATCCCTCTATGTGATAATTTATTAGTGCTTTCTGGATTAAGTATCTTCTCATTTATAAGTTTGTATGACATTCTCCTTGTGGAAAGGTGTTGTTCAAGAATGTGCCGTAAACACTCAGTATAACAACGTCTCGCAAAACCATTTTCAAAAAATGGGACCCGATTTGACTCATCTTTTATGGTGGCACCTGTTGTAATTACCATGATATTTTTCCTCCTCAACGGCTTCTCATAGTCAATGAAGTTGATGTATAGCGACGAATTCCATTCAACTGATTGTTCCGCGGTGATCTATAGTGTTGCGATTCCGTCTGTGCACGACCGATACTTACGGAATATAGCCTTTTGATCTCGAATTTGGGCGTCTAATGAGTCTCTCATCCGGTTCAACAACACTCTATTGAAAACGTTTCTTAGTACTGACAACAGTGTGATGCCTCTGTTAATTCCCACATTTGTTCAGATCTCTTTCCTTTGGTGTCTAGATGAGGACTCCGTTGGCACTTGTTCTTCCTACCAAATTTTCTTGAATAGAAGGTGGAGCATGATTGCAGTTACTTCAATTCCCCTCTCTTGGTATCTTTGATGACCATCTTGACTTTTTCGATCGTTGGTGGAGAGACATCTACAGGAAGGTCTGTAGATGCTGCTTCCTTGTCCGGTGGATTCAATGAAAATAACCTATTTCGGAGTTCCTCAAAGTGTTCTACCAACCTGTTCCTCTGTTCTTGAATCTCCGTGATTGTCTTGCCTTCTTTGTCATTGAACCATCTCTCTCGTTTACTATATCTTCCTTGCCGGTTTCTTCGTTGTGTCGTAAAGTTGTTTCGTATTTCCTTCTTTTACAGCTTTTCCGTGGCTATCTCTTCCACGTAGCTCTGTTTGTCAGCTATAATAATCCCCTTCATTCGTTTTCTTGCTTCTGTGTATTCGATCTACACCTTGGCTTTCTCTGCTCTCGTCCCACTGTTAGTAATTGCTGTCTTCTTGCTATTCCTTTCCTGGATCTTGTCCAGGGTTCCCATAGAGATCCACTCCTTATGACGATGCTTCTTGAGGCCCAGAACCTACTGACATATTGGAGTTAGTGCTTCTTTGATCCCTTTCCAGTTTTTCACCATAGTAATTTCATCTTCTTCAAGCAGATCTTGTAAGCCTTGGAATCTGTTGTTGAGAGTTATCTTGAATGTGTTGAGTTTGTTAATACCTCGAAGGAATGCCGTTTTGAAACGTTGTAATGCCGTTTTCCCAGTTATTCAGTGTTTGTTTAGCCTGTAGACGGCGTCGTGTCGCGATTGACTATGGTCACTACTACATGAAGATTACGTGCCAGGTATCGACATGGATCTCTCGGTAGGCCAAAAACGAGAAGGCTGTTAATGGTTGCAATAAGATATACTTGTTGGCGATCTCGTGTTATCTAAAAAATATCGAGACGTGCCAAAGTTTACAGGCGGAACTGTCGAGCGTACTGGAATTCGTGAGAGGTAACGGGCAACGGAAGGAAAAGTGTTTTTGGTACAGTTAAACAAACAAGCACAGTAAAACAGTCACTGGTACAAGTGGTTATAACAATAAATGTTCCCATTATAACAACCGCGTTCTCGTTATACAAAACGGTCAATACGAGCTTCATTTTCATCTCGACCACAACCAGGTAGGGATCTGAAGGTATGTCAGCTGCTCTCCTGATTCTCCCATTTTCCAATGTTTTTTGGAATTTGTCGTTGATACAAATATGATCTGTCTAGTTCTCTGTGGTGTGGTCTGGTGAAACCCATGTAGCTTTGTGTATGCGTTTGTG